CTTTTGGTCGGTGCTGATTGATATTTTTCATGTTGGCTTTGACTTATTGTGTGGACGATTACGATTAGCCACGAAATAAAATATTCGAAAAATGCTTTTAATTTGAACGTAGGACGGCGGCTCTAGACCGTGTGGGTGATATTCGATATTCTTTTAAATACGAATAACGATATATATATATTTGAAGGTCGCGATATTAACATTAAATTCAAATTGAACATCCCGACTTATGAGTTTCAATTGAACACCGAGATTACTAGCGTTACTGTACAATGTATCTTTATCAGTTAAAGCATATGGATACCAAACATTAATTTCATTTCATATTATGTGACATATTTTTTTTCGATCTGAAATAATGTGTACTATGAACAACGCTCAAAGACCATTGTTTTAACCCGTCTGCCCCACACAGCACACCTAATTAAGTAAAAATTACATAGTATCGGTATATCGGTAATATCGGCATTTTTTAGTATCGGCTTATCGGTATCGGCGTTTTTAAATGGTATCGGTATCAGCGACAAAAGTGGTATTGGTACATCTCTATCCAGAACATCAGACCTCCTATTTAGGAGGTCTGGAAGTGAGCTAACCGGTCTTGCTCAGTTGCTTCGCCGTGCTACTCGAGAAATCGTGAATCACCGTAATCGAAGGGGTACGGAAGTTGTTTTCTTTTTCATCTCTGGTAAGTGAGTTGCTTTTTTAAACTAATAAAAATTTAGCTAGATAGGGCAAGTTTTATTTAAACATCTTCCGCATGTATTGTGTCGCTGTTGAACACAAATTTGAAATATCGGTACTGGTGGGATCCTGGCGGCATATTGGCATGATAGGTTGTTGTTTTGAAACAGAGAATTTAATCTTGATGTCCAAAGATTGGTATAAACTGAGCGCAGTACGACTTCAGTTTACATTAAGAATTCTTTCAGAATTGCGCCATACCGCATCCTAGCTGGTACCGGTACTCTTACTGTACATGCCAGCACAAATACAACGCTTCAGTGTCGGTAACGTCGCAGCTTGCAGTAGTAGGGCGATAATAAATAATGAAAGTTCTTCTGTTTACATGTGATGAGCCCACTTCACACAAGTGTTTGGTTAATAAAATGTTATTGTTTTAATTTGGTTGCCAGTCTTCCAGTAGACTACTGGTAATTGTGGGCCTACCGTAATTTTTGAATGGATCTTGTGGCGTAAGGTGCCTGTAGTCTGCAACGTTGAACGCTGGATGGTCGGCCAAAATGATCTAAATTGCCCCCAATAAATTTGTCGTTTTGTTTCTAGATTGTGGGCAAATTTCAACGGGAAAGCAACCCCTCATCATACTCTGCATATAATTTCAAAGAACTTAAATCAAGAAAGTGCATTTGATTTTAATACTTTAATTAACATTTGTATTGAATTTATTGAAAATAAAATATATGCAGTGTTTGCAAATCATGACTTATTTGATTTAATCCGGCAACTCCAAAACTGTTTTCAGCTTGTTGGTTTGGACATGTAATCGAGGGCGCTAAGTGGTCTCCGAGACCACTTTGACCGAACCGGTTCGCTGGACTACTTTTGATGAACATGTAATCAGGCCTATAAGTACCAGTACGTTCATTACATAAAACGCCATTGCCTATAGATGTCTGAGCTTCATGTGCAAACGCATTTCTGTTCAACATTACATTATTGTTTTAATCTTTATGAAACTACGCGACGTGGTACTTAAATAAAATACGGGTAAACACCTTGCCCTTGGATACAAGTTTTGAAAAGTGTTCACAGTAGCCTACTACGTCATTGAAGACCGTTTCCGAACTGCGGTCAATTTCTATTGCTGCGGTTTTAAAAAATTCATAAGTAGGAAGCTAAATCGACTTTATGTAAATAGTAAGCGCCAAATATTACGAATACATAGATACATAGAATCAGATCACAAAAATTGTGAAGAATAAAAGAACAAGAAAGGAAATGCTACCAAGACCTACAACCACAACATTATAATAAAACGATATTTCGTGTTCAAAAATTAACAATGAGCTGACAGAAGCGGAAGACACTGCTTACAACTATACTTCAATCTGTCCAAGCGTAAATATATACTACTACGGTCCAAGTGAGAAAACCGTCTAAATCTAAACGATTGCATACTTCAATTGTTACGTCATCGTTAACGCATTGCGGATTGGTCATTATTTCCGGAAACAAGGGGGCATTACTCGAATATATAGACACAAAAGCCTAAACGATATTTTTATTCACAATTCCTCTGCAAAATCATATTCTATATCCTGAACGAAGCTGGAACTGTAGAACGGTGACTTACCAGCAGGTCTACCAGTATCAGAATATCGGTAACCGGACTGTTCTAGCTTTTTCAGGTCCTGTGACGATAATGATTCATCCTTCCAGTCTCAACGCCTAGTCTATACCGTAACAAAAAAAAAACTTTCGCTAAGCAGGAGATTCGCCGACATTAGCTCTCGGAATGTTTTGAAAAAGTTTTTATGAACAAGTACAGATCATCCAGATTTGACATAGACTATCATATTCATATATATATATGGCCCGCGGGCCACGGGTTGGGCGACCCTGCGTAATCGAATCCGGACTCGACTCCGCCATCCCTAATGAGCAGTTCAAATATCGAAAAATCACCCCAATCCGTCAGAAATCTCGTCAATATGAAAATCGATACAACTAGTTATCATGAACAGAGTTTAATTGAGTTACGACGTTCCATAGAACAGTGATTCCCAACCGCCGGTCCGCGAAGCTTTTTTGCCGGTCCGCGAAAAATTTCGTTGTTTTGTTGTTTTTATGCCGTCTCAATCGCTTTACAGTAGACAAAGTTGCGTTGGCTCATTACGCAATTCTCTTCCTCCCTCATATTGCGACGTCTTTCGCGACATGTTGGCGCCGTCTTACGCGACATCTTGGCGCCGATCATTCACACTTTTCGCTTTTTCGGCTCCGATTCATCGCGAATGCGCTCCATCAAATCTCGCAAAACTAAGAAGCCTAAAAATCGGCTCGCGTGCTTTTTCTGTTCTGCGTGCCTTTCCTGATTAATATGACCATCCATATAAAACGTAATGCATATCTCCTTGTTTAAACCAGAAAACTGTCAAAAACAGTATAATATTCCAGTAAGATATGAACTTGTTGCGACCCCACAGGTGGTCGAACCGCGCAAAAAGCATGGGCCGCAGAGATTTTTTCCAGACACAGTAAGATTTTGAGCCTGTTGCCAAGTTATCGACGACTTTGTCATTGTAATGTAAATTCATTTCGTTTGAGGCGTCGATCAACTGCAGAGGGATTAATATGATGGACCCAATGAAAAAGAAATGGCTTGAATAAAATGGCGATTCTACTTTACAGTCCAGATTAAAAAAGAATTACTTGTCACAATTTTAGATGATAACGAATACCCATCGCCTAGTAATCGACCAATCAAACTGTTGTCCGTCTTTTCAACCAGTCACTGCGTTACGCGAAAAAACATTTTCACTAGAATTATCACTAGATTCAATTAAAACGAAGCAAAGAAATTGGCTGCACGCAAAAACTTCTTTGAGGCCTCGTTTGCAATTTTATATTGGAAACGAAACAGCAGCAAAATTCTCACAGGAGTTAATTGTGAGTGTTTTGAATGTGAGATTTTTTATGCGTGCCTTTCTAACGCATAATGGGTGCCCAGCACTGCATTTCATTACGCAAATATATGGTATTATTTTATGCTCCACCCATTTTTAATTTTTGGTCGGCACATTATTTGATAGTTTTTCTCCGTGTGAAATGTTTTTCAGTGTGCTTTTTCGTCTAGAATCATATTGAGTGCCCGACATTGCATTATATTACGCAAATATATATATGTTATTCTTTTTTGTTCCGGCCATTTCGATTTTTTGCGGGTCCGCGAGTATATTTAATCTGATTTTACCGGTCCGCCAAGGTAGAAAGGTTGGGAACCGCTGCCATAGAACATAGCAGCAGACACAAGACCATCATCAGCACAAATACCAACAATCCAAAGTTGCCTGCTCAAATTGTAAACAATGGCGTGCTTGAGTGCTTATCAGTTTGTTTATTATCGGAGTGTAGAGTTAACTAGATAACCAATTACAGAAAATATAGTCACCTAGGCAATTACCTCACACACTGGTCACACATTGTTTTTGAAAACTTGGATGAAACTTGCACTTAATTAAAAAGAAATTACAGTATAGAAGTGGTATCATCACCCTACCATCGTAAATTAATTGCGTATGGTTTACAACTTTACAGGACCGAAACAACAATGTGTTTTATACGCAACACATATCTTCCATTTATTGCATTCAAATCAAACTGCCCGGTTCCCGGTACTAACAGTGATTTGTAATAATATTTAAATAATTTTCCATGTGTGCCTAAAACACGATAAATATATCATTATATATACACGACCAGGAAGAGTGCCGAATAAACAAAGAGAGAGGCCCGCCATGTCAATGATTATTTGCGTCTGGGCGTTATTTCTTTACCAGTGCTATATTTAGCCGAAAAATATATAATTGTTGTGTCTTTGTTATTTGCTAACTCTATGAAAAGGATATATATACTTGTGTTTGCGAATTAGTACTATTTTAATAACTACCCGATGATGCCACTAATTTCTGTTATAAATCACATTAACTCTGCGGTTATATCATGTACCTATACGCTAACTATATGACCTTATACGAGGATAGCTTCACATCTTGTAAGAAGTATTTCGGTTTAATGATTAATGCTGTTCACAAATTTATTCTTTTCCTAGACAAAGTCAACATTTCCAGATAAAGGAGAAATGAACCAGTTATTGGATTAGGTATACAGTGATATATGACAGTTTTAGTGAATAGAATTCGCAGTGGCCCCAGTTAGGTTTCCCATAATATCCTGAGGCGAATTATGTATTAGAAAGCGTTTGTTTATCATGTTTTACTGTTTTACCACATACAATCAATGGGTATTGCGTGGTACAAAATCGCTGGATGGAAACGTACATACCGCCATTTCAGCGAGGTAAATTTTTGAAGTACATTTCCAAAATTTAAGCTGTCGAGGTTGTGAGGATATGACGTTCGGGAAATTAAGGTGGAGGCCTCGACCTTATTCAATCTAAAATAACCATGGTAAGAAAAGTTAAATAATATTACTAGTAAATCACATTTCTAAGTGAGTCGTATGTACGTATAGTCATATGTGACACCGAAGAGAGTATTAAAGCTATCTGGAGTTGGTCATCCTTGCGTTGTGTGATGTGATATTCATATTAATTGCTCCAGGCAATGTTGCATACAATTGCAAGAACTATATCGTGATCTTTCATCTTCTAATGGCCCATGTACTATACACGATAATTGGGAGGATTATTGTGTGACGATTCCATTTCAAGTTTGAAAACTAATAAAGTGTATGACATAGGGCTAGGCTATCTCATTTCAATTATTGCTTATAATTTGAATCAAGCGAGATTATATATCTTTAATAGTAATATATCAGATGATATTTATAAATATATATAGATGAGTAGTGTTTTGCTATAACGAAGCTGAGCCGATTACATCCGGGTAAGATACCCAAATGTACAATATTATAATCTTGAGTTGAAAGTTCATTTGACTGTCTTTAATAGAGCAGTATACAAATAATAGCTCCTATACTGAAACCTTATATGAATGTTAAAGAACGTCGGATTCTGACCTGTAATTTTGTTTGCACGAGCGGACGGGTCGGACAAAATTTCCGGACGCCGAAAAGTAAACAAATTTGTGATTTACATCGCCGAAGCAAACTGATTTACGTCCAAGCCAATACAACTTGTGAGCAATGGCCCATGTGTTAAATTACTGCGAAGAATCAGATGCTCATTGTTTATTTCTATTATTTATATTCTTGTTTCGGTGATTTTGTGCTTGCTTGTTTTGCGCTTGAATAGCGTGCGTTCGCCATCTACTGACATGTTCTGCTTTTAAAATGGGCATTTGCACGTGGGAAAACGTTCTTTGCAAAAAATCACTGTTTTGATACTGTAATAATGAAGAATTGAGTTGCGCACCTTGTCCATCTATAGCCGAATAGTTATACTTCCACTGTACAAATAATTGATTCGACCTACGCGGAATGATAACAGCGTCCACATTCTGTTTCTCATGTCCAATTTCTCGAGATTTTCATCGGGATCGTATGACTGAGAGGATATATAATACGGTTCCATTACATTTGAACCCGCGTACATTTGAACCCATGACAATTGCACCTGTATGCTATTGCACCTATGGAATTTTTTTTGTTTCACAGATAGTTAAACCCATACTAACCCTAACCCATGGATTTTAGCACCCGCATATAGATTGAACCCGTGGATATACGCATGGGTTCAAATGTACGGTCACCATATAATACATTTGTCCTAAAGCGATTTATTGTCTCTTTGAACCCTTACGTCTCTGAGCGGAGTTACCCTGGGTTTGCGGCGCCGTATGGATAGGACAATATAAAATATATTGAAATATAGGTTATGTTAAACGTTTATAATTAATTACCAATTATGGGTAGCGAATTGACCGACATCTCAAACGAAAGCAAATTTGATCGTACAGTGAGATAAAATGTTACATTTTCAAATAAAGTTTAGCAAAGAGTGAGAAATTGATTTTAGTTCAAACATATTTTTTCTGCTTGAAAGTGAGTTATGATCCCAAATCTCGTATTTTGGTGAGAAATATATTACCAATCACATAAAGCTCCATATATGCTTTTAGCTGATATCTGAAATACTTCCGTCACCACCAATCACCAAAAATATAGCGAATTCTGCAATTCTGCATTCTTGTGTCGGATGATCAAGTCAATAAGCGGCCATGGCGTACTGATTACGTAGCTACGCAATAGCGATCACATGCCTGGCGTCACGAAGATGTTACTACCAACAGTCGTAAAGCAATAATAAATACATCAGTCGACTAGTTTCGATAAAACTTTAACGACGAGAAAAGATCGCCTCGCCTATAAAATACCTTCAGTTTACACCTCTTAAATTTTAAAGGGCTTGTTCAGTCAATGGACCCATGTTTTAGGAATACTAGAGAAATATACCAGAGTGAAATTGAAATTATAAGTTAAAAGAATTATATAAAATTACTGTTGAAGTTTTACCAAACGCCATTGACAAATTTGCTAAATATCAATATAATATCATATACCTTTTCAATATTATATCAAGTGAATGGTGAAAACCGGAGTGTATTATCGCAAATGATTACCGTGTGGATTCGGCTAACAGCCAGACTGCATATCATAACCATTAATAATTGTTATATATAAATCCCCACATCGGTGGTGTGATGCCCACACGCCGTGTTTCGTAGTTTGAATACTCATTGTAATGGAATAATGCGCACCGTAGAATCCGCATAATTTTAAACAAACGTTACATAAACTACATTTGAAACACAGGTCTTTCGACTTGAATAAGCACGAAAAGCAGTTCCGTTTTTGAATGGCGGCATACCTGAAAGGGCTTACTGCGTACATGAGTAGAAGGCATCTTATATGTACAGGAAATTACTCGTTGGTTATCCATTTGTAATGGAATATAGATGATATTCGTGGAAATAAAAATGACTGATATGGATACTTTTTACTGGTATATGATACCCAGTCGGTCAGAGTCAAACCCAGTCCCTGAGGAACCATTTTTAGCTTAAAAAGAAGCATATAAAATAATATGAATTGCCCTGAAGATGCCAATAGCATCTCATTGCGTATAGGGTATTGTGCTCTGCGTTTAGTCTATATGAATTTGCTTGCGGTGCCAGTATTCGTCCGCACACGAAAGCACGTATTGTGATGATGAATTGCTCTCAAACAGGTTTCAGGTAACATAGCTTGGTGAGCATAATTTGCTATATTTGTTCAGCACTTGATGTGAATTATTTTCCCGCGTTTCATGTCACAAATTGTGCCTATTTTGCAGGCATGTATAGACCATGGGTTGCGCATAGCAAATCAAAGGTATATTTTATCTTGTTTATGCGTGAGGAACTGACTCACTCTATACAAAAATATAGGACGTGATATGAATACGCGGAAGTTTCATTCTCCGGCATCGAGTATGGCGCGCATTATATCTTTAGAAATGTTACTGAGAGTTTGATATAACAGGTTGGGATAAGGGAGATACGTGCAGAGGTTTAGAATTTCATTCCATTGACCTGCAGAATATAGATAGCTCGAGTGAATCGTGATTGATGTCTAGGAATAGGGAATTTTTTTTGGCCTAATGTTCATATATTAAGTGCATTTATATTTAATCTAAAATAAATGTAGTCTTTATTACTGTCCATGGTAACAGAATAAGTGAGATAGGACCTTTGTGAACTATTCACGAAGAGGAAGCTGACAGTTCATACACGGACCGGTTAGAAGCTTCATTAACTTAATCTTTTCAATAACATATTGTACGTGTATCATATTTATGTATGCGACCAAAGCTATCATTAAATTTTTTCTTTGTTAGGATTCAGTCGTGAGTTACCATTACATTCTTTACGGATAATTTCACCTCGTAGTTCGTACGATGAGTGAAATTTCTTGTAATGGAGACAAAAATAACAACACGGCAAAACGAAAGTATCTTGGATATCGAGGAGAATGGTATGACGTAACTAATTTTGTGGAACGTCATCCAGGCGGGGACATCATTGAAAAATTTGTGGGACAAGATGCCACACATGTGATAGACACTGCTCACAGCAAAGATGTGTTGAAATCATGGAAACCCGTCTCTTTGGGTCGAAAGGACGCACCAGAACCTTATCAATACGATCCAACTTCATTTGAAAAGCAAATGTTGGCACTTCATGTCAAGTTAAAAAAGAACGGTTTTTATGATGACAGGTGAGCTATATATATAAGATAGGAATTACATATTTATCCCGATGGAGAGGAAAGCCGATAAGACGGCTTAACCATATGGTGAACCACAGCCTCTCGTTCGGTTACCATTCCATGTCGGGTATGGGATAAGTTCGGTATTTGTTTTCGGAAGCATGGACTTGATGGTAGAGGAAGCCGTAACCGACCAGCGGTTACGTGAACCACCCTACGGCGGCAAGGAGTCCAGCAATCCTCTCGCACATAACCATCCCTGCATGGGATTCGAACCTGCGAACCCACGCAGAGTAATCAGAGGTGCGGTGCCGAGCGTATTCCTAACGCTTAGCATGATGAGCCACACCGCCGCGCCTGTGACCTAATGCGAACCACATGTGACCTAATATGGAGCGAAACAAATTCTCGACGATCATGAATTGTTTCGTTTTTTGGCATTGTAATCTGATGCATGGATATTTTGTACTCTATCTCAGGCGTAAGATCCGGTAGTCAGTCTCTGAAAATAAAATGTATGCTGTGTTTATATATATATATCCTAACTTGAAATTCATCTGGCTTCCATAAATTAGAGTTTGCTAACTTTTCCAAATTTATTATTTGACCACTTTTAATCAATATATTTTTACTTGAATTTGATATGGTTGCAATACGACATAAAGATAGCTTTATTGCAAGAATAACATAAAACTTATTTTAACAAAAACTTTCCCACGATAAGGAAGGAAGTAAAGTTCTTTTACTGATTCCACATATTGTTCGATGATGTTTATACGTCAACTCAAGTAGCTAGACCGGCTTACAATAATACAATAGTTCCAATAAATCCTTATTCATTCACGAGAGCGTATGTGTAGTTGACGTATATACCATAGTGATTACTTTCTCAAAATTGACGTTGCTCATTGTTACTTAAAAAATTCCCCTGTTGTTTCAATAGAAATGGCAACACGTCATAATGGTGAAAATTCCCTTATTATGCCGAGTGAATGAAATGTGAAAATCATAATATATATGCTTATTTTTATCCTGTGGCATTTGGTGATATGCAGAAATTGCCACATCCAAATTTTATTTGATTTCTCACTCTGGCTTCATTTTCTTATTTCATACTTCAACATGTACCCCATTTGTTTTTACAGCGTCGGATGGTTCATACGGAAGTTCATCATCGTTGCCAGCTTGAACGTCGTTATATTTATTTTATTATTCAACTATTCAAACATATTTTACATTCAATGTCTTTGCAGTTTCCTTCTCGCTGCTTTTTGGCAACAGAGTGGAATGTTAATGCACGATTTAATGCACAGCCAGGTATGCATTGCTTCAGAATTTTGCTTTAATGCATAACAGATTCTGGGACAATTAATTCTCGGTAATCTTTCATCCTATCAAGTCGTCCCTAATCAGTATAATTAACTTGCGACTAGAAATGACGACTGCCGTAGAAATGTATGCAAATAGGGAGGTCTTGAACCTTGCGAAGCCTGAGAGTTATTTATATTACGTATTTGAACAAAGAACTTCTAATAAGGTATTTTATTATAATATGGTTTGATGCTGTAGCATTTATATGCTCCCGTGAATCTATACCCTTGTCATAACTACTGCGTTATAGGATGCCTATATCAAATTTGACTTTTTATTGAAAAACAATGTTACACCCATCGTCAATTTCATATATATATTGCATTATCTTCGTGTAATTTTAGAATGACTTTTACAAGATGCGCGACGTCTAGTTTAGATATCAATCATGTTCAATGTTTTCTAAACTAATGGAATAGGCGTCTTCCGTGGTTAACGCACTTGGGTGCGATGCTATGTTGGTTACAAACCTAATATGTTGTCAATGGTTTGTTTCTTAGTTTCACGCTTAGTTATTCTCGCAACCAGACCATCCAGATATTTATGTGGTTTGTAAGGTTTTTAACATTACCACGCTTTGAGTTTTCAAATGTACAACATTACCGAGCAATATTTACAGAGCCACCAAGACAGTGTACAGTAAATATTTTAATACATAAATATTTGAATTTATATCGAACTGCTGCGACTTCATAGATTTTGAACGAATTTGTAACAAGCCATGTGAATATTATCGACTTTCCAACTCAGTTGCAAAAATATGAAAATGTATCATACGTAATATCTTCTCAACAATCAAGGGTTTGAATTGATATTTCTCAGACAGATTGTATACATATAAATCGCGATTGCCTTTGCATTAGAATTGATATTTTCTCGATTTCTGTATTTTCCTAAACTCCCGAATTGAAGGGCTTGTTCATTATTGTATAATAATATCAAGTTTATACATTTGAAAATAATTATAATAATTATAAATAAATAATTGTTCTTCTCTGCCCATGTTTTATCACATTTTTGCCCGTGTTATGATGGCAAATTGATTTTCTCATTAACAGGCATTCCAAAATCGAAAAATTGACGAAATTTTTGGCGTTTTTTTCGGAACTTTTTGCTTCGGTATCAGCAGTCGTTGGTGGAAAGATGAACATATTGTACACCATGCACTCACAAACACTGTGGACTACGCTTCCGGTTTTATAGATCCACAAGCACACGAAGATGTGTGGGCGCAGAATGAGAAGCTGTTTCCTTTTATGTGTGAAAAAATCCATCATTTTTTCATAAAGGTAATTTATCCTAAATTGTTTTCAATTGCAGATATTTCATTATATATGTTACAATTAAATACGGTGATTAAAATCTTCAATTCCCTCAAATAATAAGAATTGTATGTGGTTTAGCTCTACCGTGTTACTTTGTGCTCAAGGTAATCGTTTTTGAAATTATTGCTTATAACCCTTCTGTCAGTCATGTTTCTGTTCGTCCCAATCGCTTTGAGTAATTCAACTAAATGAAATCGATACTCTAATATGAAAAAACAAAACAAAAAAGAGTTGAGGCAAAGTTGAAAACTACCAAAATGTGTTTTGTATTAATTGTGTTTTGTTCCAATCATGAAATGAATAATATGTAGTCTCATTTATTCAGATTCAGTATTGGACGTTTCTCCCTTTTTGTATCCTGATCGGACGATTCGGTATTTTAGTTGATTCATACAGATTAGAAAGAAGAAAGGACGTTTGGTTAGCATTCGCGCTTCACCTTATATGGATTTCCGCAATGATTAATCTGCTGCCCGGGTTGGTGATATTTGTTTACTGTTACTATATATTAGTTATATACTATATATGTGGAACTATGCCTAGAAACGTTCGTAAGATTGTTTCAAATAGCGTTGGACAGCATTTTTTAAGCTGTCTCTTGTTACTTCACTTCTGATAAGATCAAATTTCAAATTGGGAGTTAAAATGCAAAGACGGAAACTACGCATCCTATTTCATTCAATGTTTTCCGATCTCATGACTAGATAGACTTTACTTGACTTTACTAAGCAGGAAGGTGCTGTAAAGCAGGTTATCGTCTAACATGCCTATTTTGCTACCATACTGTATTTGTGTGGTATACATCATGGTTACTAAAATTTTCCACTCTATTTGCACTAATCTATACTGTTAAGCTCAAATATTAACAAATTTTAACTTATACATACATGCACTGTACATTTAGAAGTCACAACTAGGAGGCATTCCATCTCTTCGCTGCAATATGAAAGTGGAAGCACAGTCTTAATGATAATTTATTATAATTTTAGCTGGAAGTCACGAATATTATTTTACTACTTTGCAAGCGTTGGAGAAGGCATTCTACATATTCAATTACTTATGAATCATTACAGCAAACCTTTCTTTGAGAAAGAGGATATGCACGAAACGGTAAGCTTTGTCTGTTTATTTATTTTTTGAACACTACTTGAAACTAATGCGTAACAGTATTTTCATTCCTCCAACTATTCGATGTTTAGGTAGGTGGATCTCGCTTGATGATAATATCTGACTATTGCGCCACAGCAACTTATGTTGGGCGTCTTCTATTGCCACAGCCTATAGAGGCCCGTGTTACAAAAAAGTTACTAATTATGAGAGTACGCCAGGGCGAAAATATGCAACATGTCACTGGAAAACAATAGAATGCGCTAATATATGAACACGATGGTTGAATAACTCATGAAATTTCAGCAAAACTCTTAAACAATAGTACCGAAGGTCCTATTGAGGTGTATTAAGAATATCTACACGTATGATTTAAAATTTTTTAAAAGCAATAACCTTCCAGCTATATATTTCTTCAGTTTTCAAGTTCTGAAACTTCAATTTAGCAAAACACGACCCAAAGGCTCAATTCACGTGCAAAATTGAAATCGCTAGTTATCGATCACGCCGTAGACTTAAGGATCTTCCTGCAATATTGTTTGGGTTGTCAAAACAATAGCCTACCTTCTCTGTTATTAACCAATCGGTTTCAAACTTAAGGTAATAAAAGATGGAAAAAGTCGCCAGGATGCTACAACATTTCTTTCAAATCTAGTCGGAGGGGCTATTTGGCCCGATATTTCGACGGAAATTTTGCTGTTTGAGCCACTACGTGTTACTCCGCCAGGCTAGCCTGCCAAACTTTTTTGGAAACCTGGTGCTCGGTCAGTGTCGTATAGTGCATTGCTGCAGTGGTTGAACGGGGAATCGCCGAGTTTATGCTTTGAATTAATCATTTGACCTAGGTCATAGGTGTTCGTCTATTTGAGTAAATGCAAATGAATATTCGTTACGCTGTGATGTCAAAATCTCTTCTGTTATTTCAGGGGTTCTTTCGGGCAATGGTAGATTGTAACATCAACATTGTGTGCCCAGTATGGATGGACTGGTTTCATGGAGGTTTGAATTTTCACATAGAACATCACTGTTTTCCAAGAATGCCGCGAAACAGGTTAAGAGAAGTCTCACCAATGATTAAAAAAATTTGTGCCGAAAGTGGGATTTTATATGACGAGTGTTCGTTTACAAGCGCTCTGACGAGAACTATGTCGCATTTAAAATCTGTCAGCAAACTGTTCACTGCCATGAAAGATTATAACTAGCTAATTTTTCCGTGGTATTTCAACTTTTGTGTGTGTTTTATTTTTTGTATGTCCTCCAAGCTGTTCCTCCGGAGCTTTAATAAATTAAGGCAATGAACAAGGCAACAAAATGGCCATTTATTAAACAATTTCAACTCGTTTTGAAAAACATTTTGAATATGGGTAATGAATTTTTCTCACTGGTCTTGGTGATCTTCAACAAAGTGGAAATAATAAGGCCCATTACATAGAATTACAAAACATGTTCAAACTATGTTTTATTTTATTTACCTCAATTTTAATGTTTGCTATTGAAGCATGAATTGGTTAGAGAGAAAGAACGAATAGAAATGATTGAATAATTTTAGATTTTACATTATTTCATTACACAGTTGTGTTTTTTTATGGAATGAGTTTTTTACTGTATTTATACTTATACATTTCCCAATGTTTCGAATGTTCTATAATAATGCTATATTTAATATTTTTGACACCAAATTTTTATTAAAAGTGATTATGTTTATTCAGATATAATAAAATAACACAAGCAAATATCTCAGTTTACTTCAACAAAATCGAACTTTCTATGAGGGTATATATGACATATTATCGCTATAACAAAGGGAAAAATTGACAGAAACTGAACACCCGGGTTTCATTGAATAAAAAATCATCGTCTACGTCAGGAAACTGCATACCATGCCATTCATTTTAAACACCGAAACAATGTAACAATAAAACAGAATTTTTTGGTTCAGCAGGAAACGAAAATACTGACTTGCACTCCTCTTGCAGTATTGTATCAACAACCTCGCTATAGTTTGGTCACTATATGAATGATTACAATGAATCAGGTCTATTTTTTGATCCATATTTATAGTAAGATATTTTTTTACTTCTGACCTACATCGATGTTATTAATTAAAAGGAAAAGCTATGTGTGAAGTGCACGGAAAAAAATTAAGAAAGTTGGTTGATATTACCTCTGCAATCCCTATATTTTATAAAATGTTGATATAGGCAATTACATACATCTCAAATGTAATAAATTATGCCGCTGCAGCCTGTTTTGACACCATTCCATTGAATCTCGTTGTCGCCATAGCGGTGTCGAATTTGTCGCTTCTCACGTTCCTGCTCAAGGCATTTAGCAAGCCATGATGTGAATTTCCCAAATTAGTAACGCAGAGTAAATCGATTTCATATTTTACCGATAGTTGACCACAGAGTAGATTAATTGGTCAAACTGCACCGAGGCGGACAGTAAGAAGTTACTGAAATCGATTGGAATCAGCGCGTCTGGCAAGTTTGTTTGAAGCTACATTCAATAGTTATATTGTAGTATAGACAGCTTATATAATGCAGAGAGTAAACAAGCTTAACCCCAAAGTTGAGGCTCTCAAAAGAGCTTCGAGTCCTTGCAGAAAAATTTCTGATCCAGACAAAAGGAAAACATCAAGAGTTCATCTTGGACGAGTACAACATATGCCGAACTGCTTAGTAGCAGACGAGGTCAGGTTTTTTCTACCTAATTTATTTTTTGTTACCTTGGTTTCATAGAGAGTTGTTCAAATCAAATGCAACTCAATCTATTACTATTAACGTTTTATATATATAAAACGATGCTGAAATTAGTAGTATATATTCTATAAGCATATATATGCTGAAACCCGTAATACTTCATCTAAATTACAAACACTCGAACTAATTGGTCATTTCAACTTGTGACAATGATTCTTTTAACTATTGCTTTTATATTTATATATATATATTACAATGTCATATTCCTATAAATTTACAGCCCAATCCAGACTGTCCTATCACCACCTATGAGTTCCTCTCAGCTGCAGCAGCGGGAGCAATGAAAACTGCTACGAAATATCTCGATGATGGCGGAAGCATATTTGCTACGGATGAGGTAGGTATTCTCAATGCCAATGGGTTATATTTTGTAACGTTGAACTTGGTTTTGGACAAATAAAAAGGGTCTCTAATTCCGAAAAGGGTACGGAGATACATAAGTAGTCTATTAGTCAGTTACACCTACTAATATAGTACTCAAAAATTGCACTTCGAAATCCGAAATATTGAGACTATTCTAAAAAATTTACAACAGTGGACGTCGTCCTGCCACAGTTCATTTACTGGTCGCGGTTTACTCGAACCGATTCCGAATGGAAGATGTTATTACATTTAACTTAAAATTTTAACTATAAAACAACAAAATATCGTAACTTCGTGATGAAATACGACAATAAAGCTTTGCTGAAAATGGTCAGTGGGCTTCAACGGCGATATCGATTAGTTGCATTAATTATTCTCTGTAGCAAGAATACATTGAAGTTTATTTAATATCTTCATAGCACCTTAAGATTCAGTTTATATAGCCTATATCTTTCATGTATATATTGCCTTTCTAGAAAGTGATACACATAGCAATATCATTAGCACAGGATTATCGGGTTTCAGGAATGCAACCACTAGCTGTAATGGGATGAACAAGTTTAAGCCAAAATCTGATTATATAATAATTCCTATACAATTTGAATTGTTTGCCTTCATAGGGTGAATTTAGTTTAATGTAATTCCTGGGGAGCGGTGAGTATTTTAACGCCTGGCAAATCCTATTTCATTATACGTGGTGAATAATATTATATATATATATATACATAAGCAAAGTTGTTATGTATCATCGAGTATGTCGTGTGAATATGTTGTGTTTTGCCAGCGCGAGACCGTCCAGTGCACACAAAATGAACTTGTATCGGTTTCACAGAAAAATTATCAGTCCTAAGTGATTCAAAAGTCTTGCTGCACACTAACACAAATCCATTTCTGTAAAGTTTCGTCTGACCAAAACTCTTGAATCACTTAGGATAGTTATCTTTACTCTTGCTACAGCATTCTATGCATACGGATCCACCGGCATAAAAGCCGATAATTATCAATATTTCGTTTTGTAATAACATCTGATATTTGTAGTGTGGAAGAACCGCACTGGACAGAAGTGCGCTCTACTCTCAACCAGAAATGACGGAATTTCTACTCAAACGTGGAGCTAAACCAAATGTTGCTGACAAGGTAAATCTAAGTTGTCTATTAATATGCCACAAAAATTAGTTGTAGACTGAAAATTTAAAAATTCGTGAATATTAGTCGACCATAGAATACCACCGGTTGGCCGTTATCTACTGATTTTTCATTGTTTATTGTTGCATTGTTCAGCAAAGTGTCGATAAACAATTTAGGCTGATGGCTCTATTGTATATATATTTGTTGATCAACCAAAGTCATTTTTGGCGCTTGTAAATCATTACTCAATTAAACAAAAGAGACATGATCAAAGAAACTCCTTCCCAAATATATATATTTGTATATACAGTATAAAACTAGAAAGAAAATGGTATATTCTGAATACACCGTTTCGATAATTTGCATTCAGTTTGCGCGTTTAACTCGTTTTCTTATTTACAGCTGGGTGGAACTTCTTTACATTGGGGTTGTCGATCCGGAAATGTTGATATCGTTACCATCTTACTGAATCATGGAGCGAAAGTAAATCAGAAGGACAATGTAAGTAAACTATATAGTCTAGCAGCCTAGCTGTTTCCTGAGCAAGCCTTGGCAATTTTATCATCGATATTTATTTTTCGAATGATACACTGAATTGCATTTGATATTTTCAACTAAATTCTGCATTCATCAAAATATTATTGAAGACTTCCTACTAATTTCATATTACTGACACATTTGACCTATTTTGGTATGTTTTTGTGTTTTGTGTGTGATGATTGCGAAAATTTTGCCGATATCAACTTTGACTACTAGAATGGGAATTAGTCCTTCATAAAGTATACACTTTCGCAACATCTGCCATGTCGTATACGGAATACCTTATATATTTATAACATTTTCTTAGCTACTCAACACTCCACTGCACGTGGCAACTAGAGTCGGGTTCGAGGAAGGAGTCCATCATCTTCTAGAATGTGGAGCCAAAATTAACGAGCAGGACACTGAAGGAGATACAGCTGTTCATGATGCAGTCAGGATGGGACGACATGCTATCGTCAAGGATTTGATCATTCATGGTGCAGATCTGGAGATTAAAAATAAGGTATGCAAGAGCTGACATTCGTCTGATGATTTTAGCAAACACATTTAGAAGATCTAAAATATACGTGAAAGACTATTTCCGTTGATCTTTCAATACGATAGCGGCAAATAGATATTATTAATTATTATAATATATATATATATGTTATTAATAACATAGCAATGACTCATTGGCAGTAACTTACAAACATTCTAACCTTGGATTTTGACAAAACATGCGTCGTTTCAACGTAGCCTACTGGGCTATTTCATGAACGTTGGTTTATGCAGCAGGACCGGATATTCCAGATATGACTGACACGCATCTGATAGTTTGTAAATGTATCAATTTATTCATATATATATATATATATATATGAATTTTTGAAATGCTCATTTCTAGACTGGAAAAACTGCTAAAGACATGGTCCAAACTTGGTACAAAGAAACAAGAATGGCCCTGGAAAAGATGAAAGCGGAAGAAAAACAAAACTCCCAAACGAACGAATTGCCATCTACGGAATAGGATAAAACATTTTTGGAAAATACTTAAATTGTCCGTTCAACTGTAAAACATTTCACAGCCCGACAGATTCATAGAAAAGTATTCTTTGAAATGATTGTTGTATGTGAATGAATTACCGGTTGAAGAATACCAGTATTGGAAACTAAAAATTAGTACGGTCGCTGAAGATATTGTTTATCGCCAATTTATTCATAATACATTTTCCCACTAAGTTTTTTTGTAAAAATGTTGTTTTCTCATTCCCGAAGACAAACAGGTTTTCTGTATATCGTTAAGGGCGGTTTGCTGGTAGCTGGATTTATTATATTTATATCAGTTTAGTACAATGACAAATTTGATAGCAATTAATTTTTTGAATGCATACATTGGGCAATATTATAAAATGTTTACACTAAGACCTTCCTTTTCTCTTTCGGATTTTGATATTTATATTGGATATATTATAGCCCATGAGTAGATAGATTTAATTAAATGTCATACCACCTCATCCATGCTCAACTATAATAGATGCATGAATTTTTATACTATATGTATTTGCCTGCTTCCGTGTGGTTCAGAATCAGATTTCAATGGAGTTTGGAAAAATGACATATGTTATTGCTTGGGTGACATCCAATCGACGTTTAGTTACCAGTTAATCTTCAGTTTCTGTTATTTAACTTATAATGTGAATATTTCATCAGAAAAATTATGAATTGAATTGTGCGAGAATGGAATATCAAACTTGAATCGACAAGTTTCGATTCTTAACCGAGGGTGTATTCTTCTTTTTATTAAGACTGGAATAGTTTAATTGTAAATTGAAAACAATAGTGTGTTGAACTGATTTCATTTAAAGATAAATTTCGAACTGAATGTATGTTCTATATTTCACTTACAATAAATAAATGATATTTTAAAACTTTCGTACTATTTTAATCCAGCCGTGTGCTGTTTTGAAGTCACAAATCAAACAAGTTGTTCAAATCCCTTAATTAAAGATGCGAAAAAGCGTTCTAGCGCGTCCATATCTGCCTGAAATTTTTCATCACGGCGTACAATCACGCATCTCTATAATTCATCATTTGTGCGTTTAGCAGAGCGAGATAACTAACCAGTTAGGTTAAACTGGAGTTACTTTTCATAAACAATAGCCTTTATGATAGTAAACACTCCACGTTCTTCCTTAAAGAACTGTTAAATAATCTATGCATGCATTTCTCGTCACAAGCCGGAATCGCCAAGCACAAAACATTTTTGCTGGTATTAGACTACTGGGGTCTTGTTTTCAACTTCTCGCTATTTTGAGTTCACCAACCAGGAGGACAAGAATACGTTTTCTGAATAGGTCGTCGACGGACTGAACTTGTCTCAAATTTCCCGATACACTTTGCCTAGTTTGAGATTCTCCCAATTACCAACCCAATTACTAGGACATGATTTGGCACTAAAACGAAGACTACCGCTGAAGTATACGAGCAGAAAATACAACAGAACGGGGCTCCAGAAGTATGTGTAAGAATATGGAGGGAACTAATTTTGTTCGCCTACTTTACATCAAGTTATGTAAAGGGACTGAAGCCTATGGGCAGGGGGTATATTCACTTGTCTAGCACAGACAGTCCCCGAACTCGTAATAGAACTAAAATAAGGAAAATCGGAATAAAATTATGGCCTAATCCTAACCTGGTACACATACTCCGCAGTACCGCATGAACGTCATAAAAAACAAGATTTGAAGTTTTGCCCTTTTAAAGGAAGAATTGATAACCAATCTAACAAGAAATAATCAATGTATTTGAAATAATCATGGCAAGCCCCTCAGTCATATAATGACAAATATATTGAAAGTGCCAAACCTAATGTAAATAATATGTGCTTGTGAAAATAAGATATTAATAATGCTAGTCATATTAGAAAACAAAAATTATGGTAGGACAAAACCGAACAAATATTATTAATATTCATTATTATAATAATTATAGAGTAATAAGAAACAACAACAAAAATGAAGCATGTTTTAAGAAATAGGCAACCCAGCTTGGTTGTAAAATTGCAGCCTTACGCACAAATGAAAAATCCTGTAAAATTACAAACAATATACAGTTAGTTGCTGGTTGTGCAGATAATTTTACATATTTTTTGAACAGTGTGTTGTAAAATGAGCAAGTCAAGAAAACGATGAAAAAGTCACAGAAACGACATAAATTTCCCAAAATAGAAACTACCATGTATGTAATTCATAAGTTTCCTTTGGCAGAAGATGGAAAAGGCCATAACAGCAAAGTAAAAGTGCCACCATGGCAAAAACTTACTCCAAAACATGTCTTTATTACAATATGACATATTTAAATAATTCCGTTCTAATTGAATTTCAAAGTTTATTATTTTGAATGAAGCATGTTTAAACATTATAGCTATAATTGCAAGTTATGAATCATAATTATCAGTTACATTGAAACTGTTTTTCAGAATCAAACTAAAATCCCAAAACAGATTATCATCAGTCAACAAATAAAACGATTTCAGGTCAAATGGGTTCTCTAGTCCGGAACTAGTCCGGCGAAACAACACATATTTACAGTTCATATATGATACACTAGAAATTATGAATATTTATACACATAACATAAAAATTGGTTCACCCTGGGAACACGCTCTGTGATATATTCTACCCAAATTAATGCAATTTTTGACAAATCAAATTTACATTTATACAACTGAAAACTTTTACACAGAAATGTACAGAATTTTGATGTGCATTATGAAACAATACAAAAAAAATTTCAATTTTTCAAATTAAGATGCCTATTATATTATAGCATGGGGTTCTAAGAATGTATATAAAATGCTGCTAATCCTGGCTATAAGGGCCAAGGAGATATTAGCCTTATAATAAAGAGCTTAGGGTGACCTTAAGTCAGTGTTTCTCAAACTGTGTGCCGCGGCACACTAGTGTGCCGCATAAGATTGTCAGGTGTGCCGCGAAGCTTTTTGGAATTTTAGAAAATAAGCTATTTGAATTACATATATATGCATGCAACGGGAGACTTAAGAGTATCTTGTTAGACTGGTAATATTATTGCATTTGTCTTATCGTTGTAGGAAGGATGATTGACGCGTTATAATTGTATTGTTATGTCATAATGTATTTGTGAACAGAACCTCATTTCAATTGTTTCTCAAAACAGGCACACACATCGCATCAACATTTGCAGAAAAAATTTGTTTAAAGCTAACTTAATTTTTTTACAAGTGTGCCGCAAAATTTTTATTTGCTCAGTGCGCCGCGAGCAAAAAAAAGTTTGAGAACCACTGCCTTAAGTGAAGGGTGACCTTCAATAATTAACCTCCAATTAAATTGGCCTTAGTGTCATCTAACTACCTAAAAAGCACAAAATATAGTTACTAGGATTAGAACCGAGAGCAAATAACTAGTACTACTGATTTTGGCACAGTAATCATCTCTTAAAATATTTGTTACTGCCATAACTCAGAAAAAATGAAAATTCAATGTAACTTTGTGTACTACTACACTTAGGGTAGTTTGGTAAACAGAAACTGTGCCACGATTGGTTCAAATCAATGCTGATGTGAACCAATCGTTGCACAGGTTCTGCAGGAATCAGGTGGGAACTACATCATCTATATATAGAAGAAAGTTATTTTTGATGAATTTGATAATGATAATTATGCATAACTTCTTATTAATCCTAGTGTGATTAGCAGTAAAAAAATTATAATTCGGATGTTCATTATAGTTCAGAATACGATACAATTTCAATTTTCAAAGCAATTTTTCATTTGTTTACACATTTTTCAAAAAGTACAAAAAACAATGCATCTGATATGGCTTCATTTGAAAAACATTGTCAAATTTTAATATAATGTCGCAAAAACCAGACATTCATATCTGACTGACAGACAGACAGACAAACAAAACATTTTACTCTTCATCTTCTGTGTCTCCGTCTTCTCCTAACCTCCTGAATGATAGATGCCTGTAATGGTCAAGCCATTGGTCAAGCATGCGGGTAACAAGAGGTGGACGTTTTCCTGGTTTTTGTTTGGCTACGAGAACACCACTGTTGGTGACAACGCAATCCAACCAATCAAACAAAATGCACTCTTGTTCAGTTTCTGATTGTCCCTAGAATTCAAATAGAAAACAAATTTTAGAGTGATAAGTTGCCAAATGAAAACCATTCAAAGATACCAGATTACCAGTATTCCCAAAATTTAAGCCATGATCATACCATTTCAGCAAAATAAACATAGAAATCTCTACAATAACACAATCTACTATGATTGTAAATGTGTCATTTGCATAAATACAGCTTAATGAATTTATGACTTTTATGTACTTTGACAAATGAGCGAATAACATATCATAAATAAGGCTCTTTGTTGTTCAATTTCTTAGCGTTACATTGACATGGGAACAGTGGCCTGTTGGTTAACAGGATAGGATTAACTCTGCGGTGTGGCACATCGTGCTAAGCGTTAGGAATACCCTTGAACCCACTGCACCTCTGATTACCCTGCGTTGGTACGCAGGTTCGAATCCCATGCGAGATGGTTAGATGCAAGAGGATTGCTGGACTCCTTGCCGCCGTAGGGTGGTTCATGTAATCGCTGGTCAGTTATTGCTTCCTCCACCATCAAGTCCATGCTTTCAAGAACAAAAAACTGGCTAATCCCATACACGACATGAACTGATAACCAGACGAGAGGCCGTGGTTCGCCATATGATTAAAACATCTTATCGACTTTCCTCTCCGTAGGGATAAATATGTAAATCCTATCCGAACTAAGATGGTAATGCAGAATAAAATCTCATGTCCATCCAGGAAATAAATTTAGTAGGCAATATCAAACCAGAAAGATTCGAGTCCTCCCTAACTATCCTCACTCAGCAGTGACTGCTTGTACAGTGACTTGTTTATAGAGAAAGACGTATGAACAGTCATATAAAAAAATTTCATTCAAATTGTTCAGTACTATAATCAAAATTTAAAAAATATAATCATAAAGACGAAGAGCCAAATTAAACATAGATAGATAATTTAAATTCCATATTTACCTGATTGGGTGATGTGAAATGTATAGGTAAAAGTTTTCTTTCACAGTCCATGAGAGGTAGATAAGTACACAATGCTGGTTCACTGCATGAATCAAGTGTTCTGCTGCTGTATGCATCCTGGATAAAAAAAGAAATAAATTATGAAAGTGATTTGAGCAAAATATTACGATAATATGGTGCAATGGTTGAAGCATCATGCAAAGTGTTAGGAATATGATTGCCAATACACCTATGATTACCCTGTGTGATTTGCAGGTTCGAAAGCTGTGCAAGACAGGTGAGTGCAAGAGGATTGCTGGTCTCCTCTTACTGTTGTAGGGTGGTGCATGTGACCGCTGGTCGGCTTAGCTTTACGAGAGAACATGGTTTGCCATAAAATGATCAGGCTGTCCTATCGCCCTTCCTTCTTTTCTCCGACATAAATATGAAAAATCCTATCAATATAAAAACAAAATCATACCCTTGAATCATTTTCCATTGGAACCAGTGCAGTGAAATGACCTCGTGTGTACCCAAGAGCTATCGGACTTTTCCAACAAAAACTTCTTTCCCAGAGAAACGGTAGATATACACCTGTAATAAAATAACAAAAATCAAGAATTCTGACCCTTATTTTAGGTATATAATTAATAAGCTTGTACAAATATCCCACTTTGGAATAGATTTTCTAACAAATGAGTTCTAATATATCCTTGAGGTGCCGGATGGGTTAGACGAGTAGCACTTTCTCTTTATATTGGTATGCTTGATTTTGATTACAAATTGAATTTTTTTTTCCTAATCTAGATTACTTCTCCTTCTGTACATGGTATTTGAATACTGTTATTGCCCCCCAACGTGGCAATGTCAGGGGTACTAGTGAATGTTTCACAACTAATAGCAAAAATACACAGAGACAATTTGAAATCATCCATATAGATTATAGACAAACCACAGGTTAATCTCTATCGATTTGATCCATTATACAACCAAATTATGATTTTCACATTTCAATTGAATTTTACATAATGAAATGAAGAACATTCAGCGCCAATTTTATAAATGAGAAATTTATAGAAAAAACATAAATTAAATATTCCACAAAACATAGTTATTCGGATCATCTCTAGATATAGATCGGCCATGAATTAATGCGTCAAAGTAAACTTGATTGAACTAACTAAAATAGTGAAGTACATCATGTAAGAAATTGCCTGGGTAAAATAAAAATTTAGTTTGACATTTCTTGAGAGAAAAATAATATTCCAGTCATTACCAAAAAATCCAAATTGTATTGATAAACCAATATTTTATCACAAACATGTTCAGACTATTTCTTTAAATCCTAAAATATTCTTGATTGAAGAGAAGATTCAAAACTAAATTCCTACATTTCTCACCTTGAAACTTCGCAAATCCTAATGTATCACCTTGGAAGCTCTTTAAATATTTGACACCATACACTATAATGGGTCGACGTAGAACATGAGACAACACAAATATATGGCAATGCTCCAGAGATGCACCAGGCTGATAATAATAATAACATCCATTAGAAAGCTTAACATTTATATTTATGAAAATAGCTAGATGTTTTCTTCTATATTAAATTCAACACGTAAAGCAATCTCAACAATAGAGTGAATGAAACTTGTCTAAATTGTTATTTCTGGATTAGGTGATAGAAAATAATTATCTTCAAATATCTTGCTTTAGAATTTGACAATTGAATAAAAATGATACCGACTACTGAGAATTTGAAAATAATTCTGACTATTTTTTCACTTTGCTTCTATGATTCAATAAAATTAAAGTGTGAATGGCATAATACACATTATATTGTGATATGAAGATAATAGATAAGGAGAAAAATATCATTATAATAATAGTAGTGTCATTGTTAAATAAATGATCTGCCTGCACTTTGTGTAAACGGTTATAAAGGATATCTGTGACATACAAGTGTTCCCTTGAAACTAAATATTCACGACTGTGATGCAATAAATTTGTTGTAGAGATATACAATTCTCACCTGTCTAGCCAATGATAAAATGAAAGCCCAGTCTTGTAAATACTGACGTTCAGAAAGTGAAAAATTCAAAAGTCTTGCTTGCATAACTTCCCATTCTTTCCACCGAGTGTAAAAACTGAAAAGGTAGAAAAATGAATAAATGGTAACAAATTAACTCCATGTTAATAATTTATAATACTACCCAACAAATTTTTTATCACAATTCTTCAACAGATATGTTGGAAATTCAAAGCCAAATATACCTTTAATGCAGATATTTTCACCAACATATATAACGAAATAGAAAACAGGCTTTATTAACACTTATGAATTAAAATATTAATAAGCCATAGTCGAACTTTATATCATTATCTACGTTCCATGCTTGGAAGGATATATTCAAATGAATTGTTGATGAACAGACAGATTTGTGGTTAGCAATAGCAACCTTGTCAAAACAAGACTAAATCTCCTGGGATTTACTTAATGAATGCACTAGTACACAACACCAGGTCATCCATCTTTGAATATGTTAATTATGAAAAGTAATGAAGAAGTATAATAAGGATCGGATCAATAGATCAGCCAACAAAAAACTTGGTTCAGGATACAATTCCTAAAGTGAAAATTTTTTAAATTCGAGACTTTTTTGAATCCATAAGCAATTCCAAGTTATATTCAACTCCCAAGACACATTCTGTTATACATGTTTATATAAAAAGATGTGATCTACCCTGAGTTTTATCTTTTAATTAAATTCAAAGCATGAAAATACAGACACAATATATTATTACAAAGAACAACTTAAAACTGACTTGATGCAATATTAAAATTTGATTATCAAAAATTGCTGTATCCATGTTTATGTGTGTATTATTCCTCAACGATTTCATCCAAATTGACATGAAATTTTAACGCAAAACAAATAATGAATTAACTGGAATCAATAATTTGGATATTATCCATTTGATTTGGACATTTCCTATAATACAAATAATTCTAGGATCGTTTAAATTAATACTATCAAAATTTTTGATAAGTAACATAATAAAAAGTTCAATTAATCGACAGAATTCACAAATAAATAGTGAGGTTTTTCTAGAAAGAAATATAATTTTCTACAAAATAATATTAATGATAAGCATAGATCTAAGTTTATTCATGAAAAATTTACAAATTGAAAGATATACTGTCTGTATTCAACAAGCAGTTTATATACTTTTTTAAAAAAAAATTATGAGGTACTATATTTGGAATTACTTGATTACACAAAACCAAAAGGGAATCACAACACACAGCACTGAGAGGTCATCACAGCATATGCTGTCATCAAAACTGTAACGACCATCTATGGAATATGAAACAATAGAGTTCAAATAGGTTTAAGCAAATGGTTAGTAACTGTACTGTTATTAAAAAGAATAAAATAATGAAATAACCTAGGACTAACTAACTTAGAGTTTACTGCCTACCTAGTCTAGTATTGTACAATGTAGTTACCAGTGAGCGGTAATTTAGAATTTCAAGTAGTTGTTAGAATCCACCACAAAACTATAAGTGTCATATAGCCAGTGAACAGCAGGCAAAATCTCCTTTTCTATCAGTGATCCCACTGATTAAAAAATTCAATTTATAGAGCAAAATCATTGATCAAACAAAAAAGAACTTACTAAGGTGAACACTCTTGCATTGTTTCAGCCATTGCCCTCCTCAGTACATTATCTCTGTCAAAAACACCCCATGTTGATTGCAATACTGAATCAAGTAAGCAATCCCCAGCAGATCGATTCCATAATGCATAAAGTCGATCAGCATCAGCACACCAGTTGATAGCAAATTCATCTTCAAGTTCTAAATACAAGTTTCTCATCAGTCAGGGTCACAATAGCGTCGAATTTTCCACAAAGTTGGGAGTTAAAATTTTGAATTCACCAGTCTAAATTTCACTCAAAATGCATCACACTGACTTGGCATTCTTAACAGATACCGGTAACTAATGTTAGCGCCTAAATTTCCTTCAACCCACAGGCGAGCATCAGAGTCATTCTAATTTACTTGTTTCAAAATTAGGAGAGGGAGGTTGGGAGGAATTTGGGAGGTTGGTTGTCTTGATAAAGTAAACCAATAAAATATTTTTTTGAAAAATGCATCAGATATCAGACACCTATTTGTAATTAGGTCATACACTTATGTATATGAATTGTCTTATTTGAATTACTGACTAAAACATTCTACTTCTGATAAAAATTATTAAAACATACTAATAATGCCTATCTATAATAAATTTGACCCTGGTTGAAAAGAAGGAAATGGTTTTAATTAGTACAAATGGCATAATCAAGAAATTCAGTAAATATGCAGCTTCTATTATTTTTTTTATTCTAAAATAGCGATAGAAATGAAATATGTAATGTTTGTAATATTTTGGTAGTAAAGTCTTTAGATTTTGTCAAACAAACAAAAAATAACGAGGTAAATAATTTGGTATGAATATGATATTCAAATCAAAACTACGTTTTATTTTAATGCTGTGAAATAATGATTGGTATCAAGTCATTTGACATGTATCATGATGACTATGTTTGCAATACAAAATCACCTAAGTGATTCAGTATTCTCACTCTAGTATGGTCCACCCATGCTACATAGGTAACCCATGTGTTAAATATAAGCTACATATGAATAAAATCGTATATTTTAACAGCCTTAAAATTTCTCACCTTTTTGCACATCTTTGTCTAATAGTTCATCAAAAAGTAATCTTTGTATTGAACTTGGTAAACCAGCAATCTCTGTAAAATTATTAAATTGGCATCATAATCAAAATTAAATTGTGAAAGCATGATATCAATTTAAATAGCATAACATTGATTGGGTGAATGCCTGGTGTTACCAGAGCTGGGAAGAGTGCTATTTTGAGTCATAAGATTGTATTTGAGCTGGGGCTGTGAAAACTTTTGGTGGCCCCATTTACTAACCAGGTTATATTTGTGCTATCAATTGGTCGATTGGGTTTCTACAAACAAATAAAAAATCAACTAATAATTCTTCTTCTTCTATGCTTTTGTGTCGTGAATCCTGATGCATATAATCCAAGGATGCTATAGCAAGAGTGAAACTAACTATTCTAACTGATTCAAGATTCTCGCTGCACACTAACACAAATATATTTCTGTAACGTTTTGTATGACCAATGTCAGTCTTTCTCAGACAAACATTATTCAACAAGTTGACATACTGCAAGACTTATATATCTGAAAATGGATCTTACTTATTCCCAACTCATCAACTGCATTGCATTTAAAAATATCACGGAGGATTTCAACAATCTGAAGAAAATTGTTTACACATCCATGAACTAAGCCAAGATCAGTTTGTAACTACAGGAACATCTTCGAAAGGTTTAAATAGGTAGTTGAATAATGTTTGTCGGAGGGAGTCTGACCTCGGTTAGACGAAACATTACAGAAATATATTTGAGTTAGAGTGCAGCAAGATCACTTAGGACATGTATTACTAGTTTACATTTATAATTTTCTATAACTTCATACAAATATCAAAATCTATCCTTTTTCAGTTTTATGTCAGATGTTAATCTAAAAACTTCAATTTGAATTTGGAAAATTAAAAACTTGAAGTTTGATTTTAAAATTTGAAACTCCTAAATCTTAGTTTTCAGTCCAATGCCATATAACTGCATTTGGGCTGATACTTAGAGTAAAGTTTGAAAAATTAAGCTTCAGTTTGGTTCTGGAGCCACCATTTGAATATACTCCCATCTGTCAGCTTCCCAGCTCTGGCTGTTATGAAGAAAACTTTGGTACCAAATGTAAATTTTTGATAATTAAGTCACTTTATTTTAAATTGATATAAGAGGTATTCAAAAGTATTCTTATGACCAATTTTAAATTTTTTCATGTGGAATTTCCTTGTTCAAATTGAAACCTTTGTATTTTGTTTTGACCTGTATTGACTCATTCAAATTTTAAATAATTTGTTTATAATTGTCCACCTTTCGAATTAAATATGATCATATCAAACTCACCAATTGGCAAAAGAAAAGTTAAATAATCACAAAAATATTGACAGTGAAAATCGCCTTTCATCATTCGGATACTTTGTAAAATTTCATGGCGAATATGATCCGCAATTTCTGGACATAATATGGCTGGACTTCGTTTCAAATTTCTCTTGGTGACCTGGAAACGAAAAGAATAATATTGTGATTTGATTTCAATGAAAACTACATTAGAGACATTGTGAAAAGTAAATTTCTGTTTACAGGATGATCAAACTAATTTTGCAGCAGTAAAACCAAATTAGCTAATCTCACAATTTTCGACACTCCAGGAGTGTGTGTACCAATATGGAGGTAAATAATTCTGTTCGCCTATTTTACATCAAGTTGTGTAAAGAGAATGAAACGTATGGGCAGGGGGTATTTTTCACTTGGCTAACACAGACAGTCCCCCAACTCGCAATAAAAAAGACTAAAATAAAGAAAATCTAAATAAAATTATTGCCTAACACTAACCTGGTACACACACTACAGGAGTACCCAATTTTCTGCGGTTATGGACCATGGGTCATAATTTGGTCTGGGTTTCAAAGCCAGTTTTGATTTTAGGAAGACTATGTTCATTTTTACTACTACAAAATAGGAATTTCTCAAAAATGTGACACAAGCATATTTAGTTCTACTGCAGATTTGATATCAATATATAGTTTGAATACTTTTTTAGCTTAAACTGGATAACTTACATTTACTTACACAACACACTAGTAACTATTCAATATAATTTATTGTTATTACACCATCACTTCCATAAAAGAAGCAAGATGTAAACCTCAAACAATATGGTATTAAAGAATTCTACGAGCATGTGCGTACTATGACCGACATTATTACATGGTTTATTAACAAATCCAGCATATTCCCATCCTTTTGCAAATTATTTACATCAGTTCTATTTGTTTGTTCTTTGTTCTATTTCCCAGGGGAAGTTACCTATACAAGCAGCTATACATCAAGATTATTTTGGAATGTTAATTTTCACCATTGATTATTATATTCAGTAACCTGGTCATTTGTTCAATATTCATTATAAGTTTAAATGATAGTATGGACATTGACGTACTGCCTCTATCAATTAATAAATATTTTAAATGATTTTAAAAACACAATCTAATGAACACCTCTTAATCCCAGAGTCAAAATGAAATTATTAAAATAGTATATTTAAAAAAATACTGAAATACAATCTGTGAATCTGTACTACGGTATATACAATCTGTTTATATAATAACAGTGTGATGAAGTAATGACTTTGTTTATCACAATCACACAATGCATGATGTACCAGTTCACAGGTATGTGTCAGTACACCAAAAATAACTTTTTATAGCACACAATTAGCCATTAAATTGGTGAAATAGATGGAGCAGTACCTTGCTTCACTGACTTTACAATCAATAAAAATGCTTTCATAATAAAGAGAGAGAAAGATAGGATGAGAAATGAGTTTCTAAAAAGTAGAGACACTTGACACCTCATTAATTATTCGATGACATATTGGCAAGGTTAAAGGAGCATTAAAAAGAGAGGATAAAGTTTTCAAACAAAATTGTAACCTTCCCTAAGCGCTGATTATATTATTATAAAACATTCATACACGATCCAGAAATAAAATTTACAAAGCAACTGCTGTTCATAAGGCCACACTCGATCCAGTGTTATAAGATTAAGAATAATAAGTTTTCACATAAACAAAACGAACAAAGAACCACAATTATGTTTAGCATAAGGTAATCACTCTCCACTGAACACTGTGCCATCAATGTCTTTTCAATTCACAGAATCAATAAATAGAAATATCATTCATACAAAAATTTTGATCAATTTCCATTCTCATTTCACACATAATATACGGTAAGCTAATTATCTCAAATGAACGAAATGTGAACCATAGCAATTCGAAAATTAACTAGATTCAAATCATGTACAGAAGTGAAACTCAATTTTAAAGAGATTGCTTTTTTATTTATCCTCCTTTCACACATAAAAAAGTAAAACAAAAACGCATCCAAAACACCACTGCGAACATTTATGTAAACCAATCCCACAACCACAAGTAACATAGATGTTTGAATTATTTATTATTACACCCAAAGTAATATTATAAGGTGTGCAGTAGCATCAAGTAACTGAACGAGTTGAAGTTACCTTTTAGTCAATGAAAGCAATATACCAAATATGAACAATTTTTTTTGTCCTGCGTCAAATTAGTGCTGCAATTAAGTATACCCAGAGAAAGAAACAGACAGACAGCTGGAACACAACATAAGTGATCACTATACTATTTCTAATAAAAATTATGACATATAAATTATCCAGATTATAACATTATAAACTATTTTGGTTCTTTTTGTTAGTATTTAGTAAGGACCATTTGGCTTATAAAATTTTCAAGTTTATAATTTTAGAAATACATTGGACCATAAGAAACATGTTGTCATTAAAATACTGACAACTGGTCATTATAGGCAAATCAATTCCAGCACAAAACCTGATTTTAGGCACAGAGAAAAATTATCGGACAATGATGAATTGAGATGTCATAACCTAAATGAGTGCACGTGTCGAATGAGCTGATACAAGTTATCAAAAACACTAGATTTCCAAAAAGTAGGACTGCATACATCACATGTAGGGAGTTTAGTTCACGATTTCTAATTTTATATCTAAATATTAAACTTTTAATAACAAGAGGAACAAATAAGGAAAAATTTGTTCCAATATTCATTCATGTACCACAAACATAATATTGAGTCACATTCAGAATCAACCCTGTAATTACTTGAATCGATAAAAGGAACTGAAATTCGATAAGTAGTATGATGTGACCATGGGAACATAAGTTAAGTAGCATACATCTTACATAACAAGAAATATTTTTTCAGTTTTATTTAATTTGATATATTTATTTAATACTTGATAATGAGAACAGGCTGATGAACTTTTCGATTAGAAAAACCACATTTTTTAATCAAGTTCGTTAATAAATTTAAACTATTCAATAATGAATTTGTATCTACATATACACAATGTCCATGTTTTAATGTAATCTAATGCAGTAGAAAATCCAAGTTTTGAAAATGTTCAACATTTTTCTACTCACAAACAGGACAGAACCACAGTAATAAAGCTTATCTGGAAACTCAGTAACGTTAATAAACAGAAAATTCACACAAAATATAGTGATGCTCATATTTAAATAATTTGAAATGCTAGAATTATTTTTGGCAAATAAATTCGAAATACTTTTAAACTATAAACCCGTTTTGATAGTCTGTATTATAAAACTGTGCAGCTTTTTCGATGTAATTTTTAATCTTCTTTTAATAAGTAGCCATTTCGAAATCTCTATAGATAGACGATCTAATATAGAAGCTGATGTAATCTTATTTAATAGCCCTGCAACGACTGTAAATATAGTTAACTACTTCCAATGACACACACACACACACTCCAATATTTTTAAACAAATATTTGCTTTGAATTATAACTCCTGGAAACATCACAAGATTTGTCATCATGATGGGAAGGAATATCATTTAGGATGCGTTTTATCAATGAATAGAGAGATGATAGGCTGATAGCATAGCATTTAGCCTTGCTCTGTTATTTGTACAGAAACTGTAGTCATAGTATTGTTTTATAAATATTACAGATTCTCTCATCTGCTTACTTTCCATACTAAAAAAGAAAGTTCAAAATAAGAAAATAAAAATATCTTACCTCTGGGGTTAAAATAAGTGCAAGGATATTGCGGCGTTGAAATCTGACGGCAAGATGTACAATAGTATGTCCAACATCAAATGCAGAAGGTCTATTCAAAATTCTCACTTCATCAGCTGTTAAAGGTCTCGCAATATTTCCACCATATGCTAGATACCTATCAACTGCTTCAATATTGTCTTCAAGAATACCTAAGCACAAAAAAAATGATGAAATGAGGATTCATACAAATAGATGATTTAATGATAATGATTCTCTAATCCACTTTATATAATTCTAATAATTCGTACAATTGTTCAAAGAGACCTTCATTCCCAAATTCACAGTTTGACGTAGTTTTCAAAATCTTGTAGAACACAACCCTCTCAATATGAGACTGCCATTTTTCGTGAAATAATTATACAATATATTCAGAAAATAGGAATATAGCAGATGGCTATAAAACATGTTGTTAGTGTTAAAATTCAACAACCAAGTCAATGAACTATATATCTTCAAACGTATATGATAACCCCAAGAATTGCTGACAGAATCCATAAATGAGATTTCATCTGATTAGTAAATTATGAATGAAAATAAGGTGCGAAATAAAAGTGACTGAAGAATTAACTATTATGTTCATCCCACATGTGTAGTTGAAATAATGTAATTAGTTAATCTAACCTAATCAATGATTGTAAATTTCCATATGCTAATAAATATATATCAGTTCATTACCCACCTATGCAGGCTTTGAGAAAAAGCAAGTTTAATCTTTTGTTCGATTTTTTCCAAGATCTATGTTCATGTTCACGAGTTTTTGTAAATTTTTCCAAATGACCTATTGCTTCTTCATGTTTCCAAGTATTACTTACTCCTTCGTTAGAAAAATGCCTCCCTTTCTTTTCTGCCCTTTGACAAGAAGCAGAATCCTGAGCATTCATTATATTATTTAAATTTTCCTCACTGAAAGATTTTTTATGTCTATGCAATGCCCTTGTATTTGTTAAAGTGGGGCTCATTGAGTCCTGGCAACGAAAAGCATGGTTTGAAGAATAGCTTCGACAAAGTCGTCCACAAGCTCCTGGCTGTGAGCTACAGGTTTTGGAGTTTACAGATCGAGGTTTGTCTTGTGTGATTTCATCTCTGACAATTTGTTTCGGGCGATTTAAAATCAATGATTTATGTTCATCTTCGTGAATTGGTTGAATTGGATTTTCAATAATCCGATCACTTGCAGCCAATTTGGGATAATGACACATGACACACTTAGCTGATCTATCCCAATTGTTATAAGTGCATGAAGTACAAATCCATTTTTTGTTAATTTCATTATTTTTATCCGCAATATTTGCTGCCTGATTGTCACTAAGAGAAGCAGAAGCTGCACCAGCACCATCTACAGGCACGTTATAGTTTGAGGAGAAAGATGGCATTTCATCTGCGTTAGTAATACGAGCTTTGGATTCAAATTCCCTAGTAAATGTATCATAATAATTATCTGCGTTAACAGAGCATCCATGGCTTATTACTGCAGGGTCTAGTCCTTGAAGACTTGTCCTTTGAATAACGGAGTTTTGTTCTGTGGGATAGTTTGTGATGACGTCTGTAGATGACCGAGGTTCGTCGATTAAAGGTGTGGGACATTGTTGACAACACATAACACAATTCAGGGACGCAGGATAATTTTCATACGTGCACAAACCACAAGTCCATTTTATTGACTTGCTCATCTCCACCTAATTAAATCCAGATATAGTCAAGCCTATTAACTGGATATATCTGAAAAATTTGCATTGAAATTACTGAATTATAATGAATTCTTACGCCAGGAATAGAGCTAAGATCTGAAGCCCGAGTTCAGGTCGGGCCTGAAATGACAATTATTACGTTCGGGTTGGGCTTCTCTATCGCTGACTTTTTTAAATAAATATATATTTATAAAAAATAAATACTAAAACTATTTGTGGATACTAAAATAAGGAATACTTGTTATGAAAGAAATAATTTGAATAAAACAGAAAAGAAGATTTAATGGACCTTTCCCCGACCTCTGACCCCCGAAAATATTCTTCCTATACTCCTAAACAAAATATGAAATTACGGGTTTGCTTCGGGCTCGAGTCTGCAAATCCAGTTAATTAGTCGGGCTTGGGTCAGGTTTAATTAATACCCACGGCCCCGTTTCGGGTGAGGCTGGATTTTTCATGCCCAATCTTACCTCTAGCCAGGGTTTCTCACTTACTGACGAGGAAATGGACCAGATTTGGTCGCTGTTAAAAATAAGATATCCATGATATGTTGAATCTGTTCGTGAAATGTAACATTTGATAGCAGAACTGCTAAGTCCATTTTATCCTACAGTCCTAAGCTTGTGAAGGGAGCTTACTAAAAATACAGGTATATTGTGACTTTCTATGCTGCTATAGAAGTGATCATTTAAAAAAGTAAGGCATTTGTTGTAATTTGTTGAATTCAGGCAGTAGCAATGACGCCGATTTATGTAGTTGTTAATCTTATGTCCAATGAGTTTCATTTTGAATAATGGGTAAACCAGGGGTAAAAAACTTTATTTAATAACACCCTAAATTTTTTTGATTCTTGTACAGTTGTAAGTCCAAAAATGAATAATTTTACAAAAAGAAAAGATAACGAAGTAAAAGAAAAAAAAGAAAAGCTCGAAAAGTTGTAGTGAGTTAATATGACTCTGATTACATTAAATGTGGATTCATTGAGGCAGGAAATGACTTTGAGCCAAAAGCACAATGTGTTGAGTGTCAGTGATATGTCGCCTGTGAGGTTGTCTCCTATCAAGCCTTGTCTTGATCTGATAATATCCGATATGCAAGCTCAAGTTTTGTTTTAATAAGTCTGAAAGTGGGTTGCAAACTGAAAAAGGTGAATGAACAACATGCTAAGATCAGACTGAACTAGTACACTAATAATCAGCAATGAAAAAAAAAACAGAACAGTTTAATTAATAATGTTACACGGCTATCTGCATATATCAGTATGCTGGTGAGCAATATTTCTGTAATATTATTTGACTGTTGCATCATCATTTTTAATTTTGCCGATTTCTGGTTTTTGTTGCACTGTTTGAGAAAACTGGAAAGAGGGGAATCTATCATATTTGACTCAATTATCCTTAGAGACTGAGAGGAGTCAGGAAGTTGCATGTGAAATATTAACCACTGAACAAAAATAGAAATGCTGAATTGAATGATTATATTACAATATTACATAAAATTATAACTAAACAGGTTTTTGGTTTTTTTTGTTGCTTTTTTTGCTATTTTGCTGCCGTAACCACGAAAGGTCGGCCCTAAAGACAGGGCTGGCTCTGATGGTGACAAACCGTATTTCTCCGTGTATAATACGCAGGGCTTTTTTAGGATGTGGATTGTATGAAAATACCAAGTTCCATGCATAATACGCATGGTCGAATTCAGTCACTTGCGTCGACCGCATTTGGTATTTTCGAGAAGCCAGCCTAGCAAGTTTCACTGTGATTTAATAATATGTTTCAAGTGTTTATGACGTCAACTCGTTTGTGTCTGTCAATCTCGGAGTTCTGTTACCCGGCTTTGAATTATCGTGCTGTTATCTATCTTAGAGCATTTTGAAAATGGTTGAGAAAAGAGATTTGTGAGCGTTAGGTTTGCCGATTGGTCAAATTGAGAGAAATGAAACAAGCCGCAAATCAGAGTGAGAAAAAATGATTTAGGAACATTCAGTTTTGCCGATACGGCAAAACAGAAATGTGGGACGCCAGACTGGACGACAACAACAATTAAATTATCGATTTAAACTGACGTTCCTATCACTTATATACACTGGTTATTGAAATAGATGCGTTGTCCTTTGTTAGACAAGATAGTCCAGTAGTCCATTCCGTGGGTGTGATTCTACTGCAACAAGCATGATCTGGTTATAACGGACTTTGTCACATAAAATAAATAGAAGACGGAAAGGAAACATGTGTATTTGGCAATTGCGAGTAAAATATCAATCAGGATTTTTTGAAAGACTTCTATACCAATGTATAATGCGCCCCCCTAATTTGGGAGATAAAATATGGAACCGGAAGTGTGTATTATACATGGAGAAATACGGTACCGGTAAGTTGGAACATTTTAGTTTTGATGGATTCGGGGTTAGATTTAAGGTTTAAGTCAGTAAGTAGATATAATTCCGCATGATAAACTAAAATCTGATACCGGTACATAACTTTGTGAATATACCAGTAATAGACTAGCGCCATGAACCAGTAAACCTGTAAACCATGGCAAGAGACAGACAGACGCCGCGGTTCGTTCGTGCAGGAGCTGCCATGAATTCAGGAATTGGTAAGAACTGCGACTCTACAGTCCTAGATCCTGTAGCTCTGCAGGTGACAGTGTATGTACTGGTATAGACAGTAGTCTACCGGTACCTACCGTACTGGTACCGGTATCGGTATAGAGTGAGCAGATGCCACAAGTCAAAATAATCACTACCGGTACGGTAACTGACTAACGCTCAAAGTCCGCTGAAAGTTGGCTACGGTACCGGTACTGTAACAGCTGAACAGTGTAACTAACTACTGCAGTCAGGCTGTACAGGGCCATACCGGTACAGCTACCGGTATCTTATTAAACTACAGAACTAGTACCGGTACCGGTACTGTAGTACGAAAGTCTGAAAGTTGATAAGATGGGTCTCCCAAAGTACCCGGTACCGGTACGCGCCCACAAGTACGGTACCGGTACCTCCAGTTAGCCCGGCTCAACAAATTTTGCATATGTCATTCCCAAACCCCCACCTGACGTCATCCAAAAAGGCATAGTGACGTACGGTATACAGTAATAAGGCCCTCCAAAGTATAGGTACAGATGGTCGTCAGGCTAAGTTGCTCTATTAACTAAAACGCGCAGGCCGCAGACGATAATCCGGAATCTAGCAAGCTATTTCTCTCGTTTTCTAGTCATAGCGATAACAAGACAAGAGAGAGATCGCTGCCGTTAGTGAACGCTGGAGGGGGGGGGGGGGATATTATATGCAAAAATCATTATGCTACGTTCACTAGAAGTACTTGCCATTTTTCCTATGCGGGAATGAAATACCGACACATGGATGTGGACCGTGGATTAATCAATAATTCTTTATTCTTTCCAATGTCGTTTTGCCCGATAGTTATAGTACTATTTGATATTGTTCCGTTTTTAAAAAATCGCCTCCGTTTATGTATTTGCAAGCTTTTGATTATTGGACACGTAGTGGACATAACGATCGTTTCAATATTATGTTGGTTTTGTTGTTGTTTTTTGACACTTTTGGACATCTAGTGGAAAATCTAAAAAACCGCTTTTCTCTTTCATTACTGGACGGATTGCTTCGATTTTTACTGGTTAAAGATGAAATTTTTCTCCAGAAGGCTATTACTTTTATTTATTTCAAATATTTCTGTTAGCTCTGTGAGATTTGTTTTTGTTTGCTATGACGTCACCGAACGTTCTGCGGACGCATAGCCGGCACTCCTCTCCTTTTTGATCACGTGCCATCGAACGTCGATGGTCCGTAACGAAGTCCTTACGGTACTTTGCTACGATTCTTTCCTTACGCTGATCGACGGTACGGTAAACCGTACTGTACTGCGAACAGACGTGTCCATATATTCGGGCGTAGCTCTCTTGTTCTTTTTTATTTCGCTTTGGTCCGGCTCAAATAGCTAAAGAAATAACAATTTTATTAACATTGGTCAATGTTGAATAAACATTAAATGAAAAAATATGAAGATTGTTTCAATATATCTTTTTAGCTTGCATATAATTTTTATTTCATTGTTTTATATTGCTCCTTCCTGCAAGTTACAAAATAAATGATGACGGTAATCTATGTTTTTTATTGAAATTTTTCTTAGTTGGCAACTCTAGTATGAATAAACGGTGCTCCCGAAGTATGCGCACCAAGATGTCTTTTTTTTTATTTTATTTTTTTTTTTAATTTATAAATAAAACAATATTGTATAACTGATATCATTATATGCAAAAAAGTAATTTATCACAATGTACAATATTGCAAAGAATACCTTTAATCGATACAAATACCGGAACAGAAAGTAATTTCTCAAAATGTACCATAACCTTTTTTTAAATAGTCTTGCAGTATTAATACAATACAAACAATAGGAATGTAAAATAAAAACAATGTATGCATTCAATACCACAGTTATTAATGGCGTCAAAATGGCGCACAATCTGATAACCATAGCCTGGTACACATACTATGTTCAGGTTGTGCGCCATCTTAGTGCATATCATAACAAAGCGCCCCCTTTTTTACCTTAAAATTAGGGGTATTTCAATATGCATTTTAGCGTTATAATTACGAATAGATTTTTATTGGGATGTGTTTCAAACGATTATGACATCACACACCTTAAAAGTAAAAGTCAAATTTGCTATATAACGAGATATGTAGTTGATGAAAATGGACACTGTGTAGCAAATAAGCCTGCCGATTGTTGTATATTTTGTTAAGTCAGACATGAAATAAACAAGCTGCATTGTTTTGCTTCAGTTGCAGATTTTTGAAGCAAAAATTAAGTATGGCTACATCTTCTCTTAGGCGACATTGTTTAAACTTTAAACAATTCGAATTTATTTTGCTATATTTGCGGAGAATATACATTGCAATCCAACAGAACAGAATATGGATCAGTAAATTTTTGAAGTGTGATTATTTTGCCTACTTCAATTCAATGCTGGGTGATCAAGATAAGGTATGGGCACCCCATATTGTATGCAAGCAATGTGTTGAGCATCTCCCACAGGGGACAAAAAAGGATAGAAAGTCACTCCGCTGTTGGATTCCAATGGTCTCGAAAATTTATTTTGATGACTGCTACTTCTGTGCAGTAAAGACGAGGGGAATCAATAGGGAAAACGGGAGATCGGTATTTTATCCA